GATTTGCTCTTGGCTGAAAGAGGGCCAGGCCTGTGAAGTTTTCTATCATGGCAGTGCAGAATGGGAGTTACCACCCAGTTTGGAAGGCCGTTCCAAAGGAAACATACAATTTGCTTATTTCTTATGCATTTCTGAGGAAGGGGAAGATAAAACACCCTATAATTTCAGTTGAAGTGTCCCTGGGAAAACAGACATAATGTATGTTGGGACTGGCTAGAGTATGGATAGGTAAGAGATTTACAGATTTCTTATGTGCTCTGAAGTTATTGCAACTTACTTTCATGATAGAGTTCTAATGGATTTGAAGGGTGGTAGAAATAGCAGTAAAATGTTATACTGAGAGCCTTGTAGAATCACAGAATGTAAGAGCTACAAGTGACCTTTCAGACTAATTGCTGGTTCTCAATCATGAGTCCACAATAAAATTTTTACTGGTTCACAGAAAACTGAGATATATTTGGATAATCTACTATCACATTTCAATTAAAAGGAAGATGAACTCAATTTAAAGTGTTCTTTATTCTGACATTAAAATCTCCCCATTTTTTGTGGTGTTAAAATATGTTCTTTCATGGGGCGCCTGGGTGGCTCCGTCGGTTGAGGGTCTGACTCTTGATTTCGGCTCAGATCATGATTTCAGGGTCATGGATCAAGCCCCATGTTGGGCTCTGTGCTGGAGCGTGGAGCCTGCTTAAGATTCTCATTCTCTCTCTCCCTCTCTCTCTCTCCCCACCCCTGCCCCTCTTCCCTGCTCAAGCACATTCTGTCTCCAAAATAAATAATTAAATAACTAAAATATTTCCTTTATGAAAAGATGTTGATTATAAATGGCATCTTGGGTTTAAAAAAAACAAATTTAGTCTATTTCTTTTTTTTTAAGTAGGCTCCATGCCCAACATGGGGCTCAAACTCATGACCCCAAGATTGAGTCACCTGCTCCACTGAGCCAGCCAGGCACCCCTAGTCTATTTATTTCTGTTCCTCATTATTCCCATGGTTAGCTTAACTTTTTTTAATTGAAATATAATATACATACCTTCCCATTAGTTTCAATAACCCTATATTTATGATAGCTTTCTAACATGGCAAAATAAAAAGTTGGGCAACTCCACGTAAGTCTCTCATATTATTTTCTAAAGAAAATTTAGGGGCTCCTGGGTGGGTCAGTTAAGCGTCCGACTTTGGCTCAGGTCACGATTTCATGGTTCATAGTTTCGAGCCCCACGTCAGGCTCTGTGCTGACAGCTAGCTCAGAGCCTGGAGCCTGCTTCAGATTCTGTATCTCCCTCTTTCTCTGACCCTCTCCTGCTCACGCTCTCTCTCTCTCTCTCAGAAATAAATAAAACATTAAAAATTAAAAAAAAAAATTTACTGCCATGAAATCGAATTGAGTTCAACATCCCTCCTATTTGCAGAAAAGGAAATGAGGGTCTAAGGAAGTGTTCAAAAGTTATGCATATACTGAAGGTCACCCAGCTAATTAACAACAGAGCCAAGACCACAGCCACGGCTCTTGCCTCCCAGAGCCCAGAGCACCTGCAGCCTACTCAGCTTCACAGGTGTTCAGAATTAGTACAAAGTAAAGAATTTGACCCTAAAACCACTCACGGTGAAGAACTGGGATGGACACGAGTTTTAAGCATCCCATTAGATTACACGTTAAGTTCTACTCTGCTTTGCCACAATTATCTCTTACAATCACGACAAAGAATCTTCACACGGCATGAATTATGCATTTTTGTGATTTTCATCTGATCAAAACTCAATAGGACAACATAAGGCTTTATAAATATACACAAATAAATATGTACTTATTTCATCACCTCCACCTATAAGCTACTTAATTCATTTTCTTCTTTATCAGGCACAGAAGAGTAGCCGCCACTAGTTTTCCTTTGCAGTTCACAACATATAGTTCTGACGCAGTCATGCTGCATCTAGGACAAGATGGGCCAGTTTACTCATCCTCACACTGAGTCATGTAAATATCAGAAGATGACACATGCTACCAAGACAAACATAAGAGCCTTTAAAACCAGCCCTGGAGCTAGGAAAACCTTCAAAACTGCAATGCAAAAAAATTTTATTCCATTTATCTTGACTTCTCATTATTCTAATTAATTTTGTAGTCCCTATATTTATGGGTTTCTAATTCCTGCTGTTAACTGAAGTTGCTGTTTAGTACGCAGGCTCATTCTTATTATTTCCCTCAATAATTTTGAACTAGAGGCCATAAACACAACCCCATTGTTTTAAAGAGGCCAAAATAAAACAAAAGCCCTTACCTATATAGTAAGGTAGGTGTTCAGGAAAATTAAAGTCATATCTTACTTGGAGCCCTGGGCTTTTTTTCTTTTTTTTTAACTTTGAAATAATCTTAGACCTCGGTAAGGTTACAAAAACAGTACATTTCTGGGGGTGACTGACTGGCTTTGTTAGTTGATAGAGTATATGACTCAATCTTAGGGTTGTGAGTTCAAGCACCACATTGGGCATGGAGACCACTTAAAAAAAAAAAAGTACATCTCTGTATAACCATCCTTTCCCTAATGTTAACATCATACATAACCACAGTACAATGATCACAACTAAGAAATTCACATTGGTACAATACTATTAGCTGAACTACACACTTCACTAGAATTTCACCAGTGTTCCCACTAATGTCCTTTTTCTGGCTCAGGATCTAGTCCAGGATTCTCACTTAGTTTTCCTATCTCCTTGGTCTATTCTGTGACCAGTCTTCAGTCTTGCTTTGTCTTTCATGACCTTCACACTATTGAAGAATACCGATTAGTTATTTTGTAGACTGTCCCTCAATTGGGTTCATGTGATGCCTTCTCCTGAATGGAATGAGGTTAGGCATTTTTGACAGACTATCACACAATGTCCTTTTTCAGTACATCATACAAGGAAGACACAATACATCTTATTACTGGTGATGTAAAACTTGATTATTTGGTTAAGATGGTGCCCTTGGCTTCAAGTCGCTCATATTCTATCATTCTACGTTCTTTATTAGCAGAGATGGCAACCAAAATAGTAGCACCCTTTCACAGGGTGGGAACAGAGAGAAAGGCCTTCCTGACCTTCCACATGGAGCAGCCAGCAGATGGGCTTATGGAGGGCTGGGGCTCTGAGCAGATACCCAAGGGGGCGGAACACAGGACATTAATGGTTGGGCCAAGGGGCTCCGAGGTAATACCTCCACATTGCCATCAAGCAGGAGATCTTGGCCAGCCCAGGGGTGGCAAGCGGGCAGCCCTTCTTCCCGGGGCAAAGGGGCTGATGAGCAAGTGTTTGTGTGTTTCTGGATTTCTCTTCTTTTCTTTTATCCTCTACTTTTGTTTACTTTGTTTTTTTTTTTAATTTTTTAATGTTTTTTTTTTATTTTTTTTTATTTCTAGGAGAGAGAGAGAGACAGCGTGAGCAGGGGAGGGTCAGAGAGAGAGGGAGTCACAGGCTGAAACAGGCTCCAGGCTCTGAGCTGGCAGTCAGCACAGAGCCTGACGCGGGGCTCGAACCCACGAACCGCGAGATCATGACCTAAGCGAAAGTCGGACGCTTAACCGACTAAGCCACCCAGGCGCCGCTTTTTTAAATTTTTTAAATGTTTGTTTCATTTTTGAGAGAGAGAGAGAGAGAAAGAGAGACAGAGCATGAGTGGGGAAGGGGCAGAGAGAGAAGACACAGAATCCGAAGCAGGCTCCAGGCTCTGAGCTGTGAGCACAGAGCCTGACGCGAGGCTCGAACTCACAAACCATGAGACCATGACCTGAGCCAAAGTTGGATGCTTAACCAACTGAGCCACTCAGACACCCCACTTTGGTTTTCTTTGACTAAGACTTCTACACTTAACTTCATCTTAGATTTTAATGAAATCCGAATAAGAATATTTATTTACTGTTTTGGGAGTAATTACTTAAAGTGAATTTCCATAAGCTGACACAAATAGCAGCGCCCCTGCCAGCCATCTTGCCGTCATCCATCTGTCCCCTGGAGGCAGATGGTGGTGCACCTATGATCTAGTACAAATCCACACCACTTAATCCTGGAGACAACACAGGAACCAAGGTTTGTTCGCTTTGTTTCTTTCTTCCTTCCTCCCTCCCTCCCTTCCTTCCTTTCTTTCCTCCTTGTTTTCAACTGAGATATAATCCACATACCACAAAATTCACTCGTTTAAAATGCACAATTCAGTAGTGTTTAGTATATTTGTAAGATTGCACTACCATCACCACTATTGAATTACAGAATCTTTTCATCACCCCAAAAAGAAATCTTGTATCCACCGGCGCTCCCCATTACCCTCTGTCCCCAAGTCCTGGAAACCCCTGATCTACTTTCTATCTCCACAGATTTGCCTATTTGAACCAAGGCAGTTTTGTCCCAAATAATAATAACAAAGATCATCTCAATCCAGTTAGCCTAGGAGATGCACACATACACCCATAAGGTTTGATTCTGGCAATACCTCACTTTCCCTTTTGATACTTTGGCCTCGCCATGCTACCCCATTCCCCTAACTGTGTCTCAGAGGTGACATATGCATTTATCTTTCCCAGGGCACAACCTTTCATCCTCCATCAAAAGCCACATTGTGTTCTATCAGTGTCTCGCATGGGTGAGGCAATGTTTAGGTAAATTTATCTCTGCTAAGGTGCTAAGAAGTACCAGATTTACATTTTAGTGGAGAATTTTTGCTGTCTAAGGCTCAGCTAGGGATGGCCATATGACCCAGTTTGTTTAGAACTGTCCCAGTTGATGCCTGTTGCCCTGGCTTAATTATTAATAGCATCCCCTTTTCTTCTCAGTGGTGTCCTGGTTTGGGTGTTTAATTATATGGTCCCCCAACCATAACCAACATAAATGACTAATCATGGTAATTTACAGGCATGTTGGCAGGCCAACAGAAAATAAATTTAGGTAAATGAAGTTTCGATGTTCCTCCAATCACACCCCAGCTCTGCGTTCCCATAAAGAAGTTTAAATTCACCAACCTGTAGGAATCAAGGTTTCATCCACAGGCAAAAAGGCATCAGCTTCTATAGTGACTTCATGGTCATAGATGTTTGGGGAACCCTAGGAAGGAAAGGTAGAGAAAGAAAAGATTTAATGGTTAGTCTTATTTTACTTTTTTTCTCCTGGAAGGAGAACCAGGAGAGGGCTTTTGCTAAGTGAATGCTCAAAACTAAGCTAACCTAGTGGCTCTCAATTGGGGATGATTTTGCCATAGGGCAAAACCTGACAATGTCTGGAGACATTTTTGACGGTCATGATTGGGGATGGTAACGCTCCTGGCATCTTGTGGGAAGAGGCCAGCAATTCTGCTAAACACTGTAGGGTTCCCATCCCTGCACCAAAGAAATTATCTGACCCAACATGTCCATATGCTTGGGTTGAGAAACCCTGAGCTAAGTCACACTGAAAGCCCTGCTGGGTTCCTGAGAGGCAAGCAGAGGGAGGCGGAGCCCTGCAGGTTAACTGAAATGGATCCTCTAATCAGAAAGACTCAGGCCCCCACAGGGGCGCCTGGGTGGCTCAGTAGGTTAAGCAGCCGACTTCAGCTTAGGTCATGATCTCACAGTTCGTGGGTTTGAGCCCTGCATTGGGCTCTGTGCTGAGAGCTCAGAGCCTGGAGCATGTTTCAGATTCTGTGTCTCCCTCTCTCTCTGCCCCTCCCCTGCTCATGCTCTGTCTCTCTCGCTCTCTTTCTCCCTCTCAAAAATAAACAAACATTAAAGAAAAGAAAAGAAACAGAAAGACTCAGGCCTCCACAATCAAATGGAGTTGTCCTGAGGAGAAGTGCCAGGATTTTAGAGACCATGAGAATTTATGTCTAAACATGCCAGAAATCGCTTTAATTACACTCCACGGAGGCTCTGTTTCTGAAGAACTGCCATAGTCTTGCGTTCTCCAGTGGGTACCTGTAGGCAAGGGAAGGAGTGGACGGGGTAGGTGGGGCGGGGTGGAGGGGATGGCAGGAGATGGGGAGACAAGGCCAGGCCTCTGCCCGTAGTCTTTCCTTTAGCCACTTGTTTGGTCCCTGTTCTGACCTGAGAAGGTGGGTCCAGAACGGGAAGGGTCTGCACCACCACCCAGAGCAGCTCTAGACTAGAGGGGTCCCTCTCTTGCTTGGCTCCCCCTACCACCATCCCCTCAGGCCTTGGTGGTACCACCAGCACTGAAGAGGCCTCTGGGGCTGAGGGGAGCGGAGATGAGGGAAGAGAACTGGGGGCTGTTTCCTTGGCTCTATCTGCTCAGGACTCCGGCGAAGGCTGGGTAATATTCCATTGTACGAATGTATCACAGTCTGTTTATCCATTCTCCTATGGACAGACTTTTGCTTGTTCCCAGCTTTTTAAGATGATGAATAAAGCTGCTTCAGAATTTTCTTTTTCTGTGTGATTTTTAGCACTAGGGCAGGAAGCAAATGATTCTATCATACACCAAATCAATTGCCAAGTCTAGGAGGTTAGGAAGAAGCCTGGGGGAGACGGAAAGGAATATGTATTAGACAGCCACTCTCTTAATGGGCCCTGGGTCACAAAGCGGCACCTACATTCCTTTATTAAAGGGAAGCATGCTTCATTTTATGGTTCTTCTGACCTGGAATAATGCAATGATCCACTTCAGTGGAATATTACTGCTGGATTCATTTCCTTTCTAGGCTGATGAAAACCTGGCCAGAAATGCTGATCCACCAACAGATCTTGAGGCCTATCTTTGGGTTCAGTGTTTGTTTTGGTCAACTTTGCTCAAGCTGCTACAGGCTCAGAACATTAACCATTTATAGAGCTCATTATGGGCTGCAGGGTTTGTTTGGTTTTTTTCATGCATTGCCACCACCACTGCCTTAATTCAGCTGTCATCACCTCTAGCAGGATAGCATGGACACTATCATACTACCCAAAAGCCATAGCAACTCCTTTATGGAACCCTCCTTTTTCTCTGGAGGAACCCTGCCTCGTTGATTCATCCTATGCTAGGCCGTATACTCAGGGAAAGGGCTCCCTCCCCAGTCCCACCGGGTAAATATTGATTGGCCTAAGCCAGTCATGGCAGCCTAATTCCCTTGCTGGTGATTAGGTTAGGCGGGGCACAGGACACACTTCTGGCCCGTGAAATGTGAGGGAAAGGCTGCTGGGGAGCTTCCGGGGAAAGTTCTGTTTATTCTTCAGTAGAACATTAGAGATATGAAGAAAGGAATAGGTTCTTTTTTGTCTCTGGATGTGACTCTATGAAGTAGTGATTCCTGGGGCTGAGGCAGCCATCTTGTGACCGTTAGAGAATGAGCCTGAAGACAAAAGCCAAAACTGAAGCAGCAGAATGGAAAGGCGGAAGAACTCAGGTCCGTGCTGACATACCTACCTAGTCATACTGGAACCAGCACTATTGGTTTTTTTTTTTTTTTTTTTAAAGTAAACGCATTTTATTTTATTTTATTTTTTTAATGTTTTATTTATTTCTAGGAGAGAGAGAGACAGCGTGAGCAGGGGAGGGTCAGAGAGAGAGGGAGTCACAGACTGAAATAGGCTCCAGGCTCTGAGCTGGCAGTCAGCACAGAGCCCGACGCGGGGCTCGAACCCACGAACCGCGAGATCATGACCTAAGCGAAAGTCGGACACTTAACCGACTAAGCCACCCAGGCACCCCTGGAACCAGCACTATTGATTTTCATCTCAAATTCCCCAAGGCTGCTTTCATAGCTCTTTGGGTAAAGTTTAAATTAAAAAAAAAAAAATGTTGCCCAGTTTGGGGTTAGATAAGGAAGGAACACCAACAACAAAAGCCCAACTAACCTGCAACCTACATGCCTTTTCCATTCTTTGAGGATGAGTTCTCTCCTCCCTCCAGGCCTCCAACACTCAAACTTAAAAGTGATGAGTCACAATTGGGCCCCAAGTAGCACAAACATACTGCTTCTTAAATAACAAATAAACAAAAAGAAAATAATATAAGATAAACTGACCACTTTAAATGATCAAGATTTGAGCTATTTCCCTGGGAAGGGTTTAAGACATACAGTAGCGCTGGGGCGCCTGGGGGCTCTGTCGGTTTGAGTGTCTGACTTGGCTCAGGTCATGATCTCACGGTTTGTGGGTTCGAGCTGACAGCTCTGAACCTAGAGCCTGCTTTAGATTCTGTATCTCCCCCTCTCTCTGTTCCTTCCGTACTTATGCTCGCTCGCTCTCGCTCTCTCTCTCTCTCTCTCCTCTCTCAAAAATAAATAAATAAACATTCAAAAGTGCTTTCCTGGGTAGGGTAAGAGATGTTCTGAAGATGCAGAGGCCCTTTGACCCCAGGCCTTGTGAATGACTACCCACTCTTGTTGGAGTGCTCCCCAAAAGGCTGATGGCTCCCTCCTATCCTCAACCCTGAGGCTAGTGGCTGAGGGTTCGAGCTGCATTCACTAAGCCAGTACACAGAAGGGGGTTAACACTGACCACCCTTCTGGGTGGGGTCCGTGCTCTGTGAGAGTCCTCCTGCCAGGTAAATGGAAAGAGCTTCAGTGAATGTTACGTTCCCATTTTGTCTCCTTGATTGGAATACATTGACTGGTGTAATATTTCATGCATAATATCTTTTCATTTTTGTTTGTTTGTTTATTTATGAGAGTCAGAGAGACAGCGCGAGCAGGGGAGGGTCAGAGAGAGAGGGAGACACAGAATCCAAAGACAGGCTCCAGGCTCTGAGCTGTCAGCACAGAGCCTGACGCAGGGCTCGAACCCACGAACCGTGAGATCACGACCTGAGCCGAAGTCAGACGCTTAACCGACTGAGCCGCCCAGGCACCCCCATATTTTCTTTTCTATCTCTGAATCTATTTCTTTAGGCCACTTCCAACCCATTATAGAATAGGATATCTTCCACGTACAAAAATGTGAAGAACAGTAAAAAACCACCATGATCTACTACCTATACAAACCCACTAATATTTTATTCTATTTCTGTCAGGTTTCTTGTGAGCTCATTATAAAAAGTAGAGTGTTTAAAGGGCGTCTCGGTGGCTCGGTTGGTTAAGTGTCTAACTCTTGATCTCAGCTCAAGTCTTGATCTCAGGGTCATGAGTTCAAGCCCCCAGTTGGCCTACTTAAAATAAAAAAGTGGGGTCATTATGCACATTATTTCAGGGCCTCTTATGACTGGGCATGTTTGTTTAGCTTTTGGGTTGTTGTTGTTGTTTCATGTTTATTTAGTTTTTGAGAATGAGTGCAAGCCAGGGAGGGGCAGAGAGAGAGAGACACACACACACAGAATCTAAAACAGGCTCTAGGCCGTGAGCTGTCAGCGCAGAGCCTGATGTGGGGCTCGAACTCACCAACCGTGAGATCATGACCTGAGCCAAAGTTGGATGCTTAACCGACTGAGCCACCCAGGAGCCCCGGGGTTTGGTGTTTTTAAGATCTTAAGGAGCGTGGCAGAAGTTTCTGAGGATAAGGAATAGACAAGTTTATAATCCTCTTTATTTTTAAAGGGAGAACTTTGGAAATTACATAAGAACCAATTAATTCGTGCTATTTGAAAAAAATCCTAGAAAAAAAATCAGCACATTGTCAGCAGACTCCTAAAAGAGTGTAAAAATGCAAGATATTACTAGTTGGCTGTGAACATCATCTTGTGCTTGGAAATTATGCCAAAGTGATTCAAGCAAGTATCCTCTTTAGATGAAGAGGAAGTCATAGAGCCTACAGAGTTTAGCTAAACTTTTTACTCTGCCTCATGCAGCAGCCTCCTCAACAAGCTAAAATATTACCATTAGTTGGAAGTAAGGTAGTGTGGAGGGCATTACCTAGGAGGGGTGGGAGTGTCTCTGTACCCCTCTTGGGGGGGGGTTCTGCAGCAGAGACACACAAATGTTGGTGGCACAACCAGAGGGGCTGAGCCAGGCACATTTCTTAAGTTCCAAAGGTGCAAAGTGGCTTAACTGGAAGGAATTTGGGGGGAGTAGGCATGGAATGAGGAAGCAAACGCAAGCTCACGTTGCAGTTAGATGAGAGAGAGTTCTTGAAATAGCTGGTCACTTGTCTGAACGTGTGGGAAAGAGATGATTCTCTGGGTCATATAGTGCACTCATTCCATCTTTCTCTGTAGCTTCCATTTACTGAGCACTTACTATGAGCCAGCTGCTTTGCCAGGCATTTTGCCTCATCACCAGGGCGACCCCATTGCCAGACTCAGTCTATTCTGGGTTGGTCTATCCAGCGACTCCCCCGGTCATTCCACAAAGCACGTGGCAGGAGAGAGGAGGCAAGTTACATTTTATACCGCAGCAGGGAGCGGGTGTAAGTTCTCTTACCTGGCCTGCCAGGTTGAAATAAGAATGATTGGTCAGATTGACCGGAGTGGTCCGACTGGCCTGTGCTCGGTAGTTGACCGTAAGCTCCCCACCATCCAGCGTGTATGTCACCCAGACTTTCAACTCTCCAGGGTAACCTTCCTCACCATCTGGACTGACCCTCGAGAATTGGACACCATTTGACAGCACCTGAGGGGTCCAGACGACCTAGGAAAAAAAGTGTTTTCAAAGCTGTTAAGTCATTGCAATCTCAAACTAAACGCCACATTTCAATAATTAGAGACAGTGGCTTCTAGGAAGAGAAATGGTTATATGATCTTTAAGATGTTGGAATAATAGCTTGGGTTTTGATTATTCTAAAATTTTGTTTTATACCACAAAAGTAGATTTCGAGAGAATTTTTTTCCTCTTTACCTACTCCCCTTCCCCATACTCTTTCTCCTTAAATTTATACGTATGTGCCCTACAATATTTTCTTCTTTTTAAAAATTTTTTTTTAATGTTTTATTTATTTCTAGGAAAGAGAGAGAGAGACAGCGTGAGCAGGGGAGGGTCAGAGAGAGAGGGAATCACAGACTCTGAAACAGCCTCCAGGCTCTGAGCTGGCAGTCAGCACAGAGCCCGACGCGGGGCTCGAACCCACGAACCGCGAGATCATGACCTAAGCGAAAGTCGGACGCTTAACCGACTAAGCCACCCAGGCGCCCCTAAAATATTTTCTTCTTATCCTTCTTTAAAAGGTTATTTTTATCTTGATGCCCCATTCTGATAAATGTCATACAGCAGTATCTGCTCACAGTATTAAAGATGATCTTAATAAGTCAGCCCCTCTCTCCCAGGGAAGTATTGTTTATGAATATTTATTTAAAAAAGGGGTGTCTGGGTGGCTCAGTTGGATAAGGGTCCAACTTTGGCTCAGGTCATGATCCCACAGTTTGTGGGTTCGAGCCCCAGTGTAGGGCTTTGTGCTGACAGCTCAGAGCCTAGAGTCTGTTTCAGATTCTATCTGTCTGTCTCTCTGCCCCTCCCTGGCTCTCACTCTCGCTCTCTCATAAAGAAACATTAAAAAAAATTTTTTTAAAAAGGTAAGAGAGCTGGGACTCAGAAAGAATATACTGCTTTTCTAGCATCTTCCAGCTAGGAAGACAGTGGATTTGAACTCAGTGGTCTGATCCTGAGCTTGTTTCCTTATTCTCTATTATCCGAGGACACCATGTGCAGATAGTCACAAGTCCTTTTGCTGATGCGAGATCTTTGTTCAGTGCTCACCAGCCACTGACCTGGTGCTTACATAAATAATTTTGTTTTGTTTTTAAAGTTTATTTATTTACTTAGAGAGAGAGCTGGGGAGGGGCAAAGCGGGGGGGAGAGGGAATTCCAAGCAGGCTCCACCCTGGCAGTGTGGGGCTTGAACTCATGAGTCACAAGATCATGATCTGAGCCGAAACCTAGTGTTGGACGCTCAACTGACTGAGCCACCCAGGCGCCCCTACATAAATCATTTTGTAGGGTAAGGATTTGGCAGAACCACATGAAATGACTGTCTTTGTAGGTCAAAACAGTTGAACACTGGCAATATCAAACGGCTCCAACTAATACTATGACCCCATTTTATAGACGAGCAAATTGAGTTCAGTGGCATTAACTTGCCTACTCCTACCTCCCACGTGCCAGGGGAGTGGAGTAGAACCCTGTCATGCTCCGTGCCCATTGTTTTGAGGGGGAGGGGGATCTTGTTTAAAGTCATACATGTCATTAGTGACATAAGTAGGATTGAAACTCAGGCCTGGCAGTCTACACCATTCCACATCTTCATTTCAGCGAATGTTTTGTTTGTATTTCCTTTTTTTAACAGCAGACTTGAGGCCACACACCGTCATGCCAAATAGACCTGAAAGATAATAATTTCTGTGGGCCACAGGAATGGCTCTGCCCGCCGGCTCCTGGCACGGCCTGCATCTCTCACTGACGTTGAGTGAGCCCACATTCACCAGGAAGGAGAGCCCAGCAGGAGCGGAGGTCTCTGCCTTCACCTACGGTGAGAGCAGCTGGTATCTGAAACAAATTCACTGACCTTAGTGAAAAATTAATTTTACACCCTAGTTATCGCCCAGAAACGTTGAACTTTCAAGATGCTTAAAATATAAAGCCGGTTATAGGCATGACTCAAAAAAGAAAAAGAATCCCCCAAATGGAAAATTTTAGGAATAAAATATTTAAAATAAAATGTTCTTAGCTTGCTACGTAGTTTTTGTCCTTCAGAAAAAGAATGCAGCAGAAAGTTTTTTCGTGGAAACCAGTATTATCAGATGAATGTCATTCTGTGGGAAGTAAAATTCCTATTCATGGGAAAGCATTCCAGGCCCTGCAGTTTCCACATTTCCTGAAAATTTCCATGTTTGCATCTTTAGGCCTACTCACATGCCGTCTCTACTCCTGTTATTCAAATTTCATCTTTCATCTTTTAAATGTTTATTCATTTTTGAAAAGGAGAGAGAGAGTGAGCGCACACGTGCGTGTAGTGGGGGAGGGGCAGAGGGAGAAGGGGACAGAGGATCTGACGCGGGCTCTGCGCTGACAGCAGAGAGTCCTATGTGGGGCTCGAACATATGAACCATGAGATCATGACCAGAGCCAAGTTGGACACTCAACTGACTGAGCCACCCAGGCTACCCTCAGATTTCATCTTTTAAAAAAATCTGTTGATATAAATAGAAAATGACATACCTATAAGCCAATGATCATTCAGTGATTGTCGTGATGAAATACAGCCTGAAACAAAGTTCCCCTCGCACTGCTCATGTTACTGCAGGAAAGCTTATAGTTCAAAGGCTTTCAGTATCCCTACTAAAACATGCCAAGTCTTTCTCTACCCCGTCTGGGCTTCGGCATCAACGCAGCCATGCTCTCCAGTATCTACTTACTAAATGAAATGCCATTCTTTCTTCAAGGGTGGTTCAAATCCTACTTCCTCAATTGCTATTAATCCATCCACACCCAGGTCCTACAGCACACCACTGGCATCCGTGTTACGGGGCTTGTTGCCTGTAACAGCTATGTACATAAGGGTCTGGCTCCCTCGCTCTACTGGAGTCTCAGGAATGGCCACCATATTACGCCCTCCCAACCCCCCCCCGCCCCGTTTCCCCGAAGGGGCTCGGTAGGCACGGTGCACTCATGATCTTGCTATGTTCTCATAGGGCACACGTGTCCGACAATCTCACAGAAAACACTACAGTGAATAGAAGGAACAGGAACAAGTAGAACAGGTGCTCTGAAGATCCCTGTTAGAACAGAGCTGGGCCCAGCCTCCTCAGGAGGAAAGTCCTCATGCCCTGGACCTGGCTTGTTCCCTAGTATCCCGGGACAGAGGCTCTGTCTTGCCGTCATGCCTTCCTGGTGTGAGTTGCTTAATCATGGAGGAAAGGGGAACAGATGAGGCAGTGTGGTTCTAGGCCACAGACAGGAAGTTGGTGAAACGGGGAAGACAGTGACCAACTTCCTTCAACAGGACAGGTGGCAGTAAGTAAGCAGCAGAAAAGGAGAAACTGTGATCTTTAACCACCATACACGTTCCTGTATTTTCTGGCTCTTCTCTGGGAAATAAACTGGGTGGTATCACTGAAAGGAGAGTTAGCTACCAAGATCACCTCCCTCAAAATTAGACTAGTTAGAGAGTCACGGGGCGGGGGGGGGGGGGGGGGGGGGCGGTAACCCGCAGACTCCCACACAGCTGGGAAGCAGGCCAGGCATTTCTACCTCAGAGGGAAGGTGTTTGAGCAATTAGCTTTCCCAACCTTATTTCTCCAAGGATTCACTTAGGGACTGGGACTCTTACTGTGGAAAGAGGTGACTGGGGAGAATCTGAGGTACTTTTTGAGGCATGAGGCACTTCAGGGGAAGGGTAGGCCTGGTTGTGGCACCACCCTGCCAGGTAAGGGGCCTCAACAACAGTTTCAGGGGTGGAGGGGGGGTTGGGAGCACATTATAGCAGCTGGGGGACACCAGTAGTATTAGTGTGGAAATGAGGGCTTCAGGTCGGGCAGCTCAACTTAGGAGTTATATGGCCTTTCATATCCTCAGACTTCTCATTTGGTGATAATACAGGGTTCTAGAAAGGATACAGATAATAGGTCAAAATGCCTTGGACAGTAAGTGGTAAGCCACTTTTCTGTTGCGCCTAAGGTCAACCGGACTTCCTGATCCAGACGCTGTGAGAAAGTCATTCTCTCTCTTTTCCAGGTCAAGGGCTGTCACCCTTTCACTAAGGGCCCCCCTGCCTGTTACAGTCAGATGAGCTACAGAAGGACGGGTCCGGGAATAGGGCTCCCCTCCACCACTGGACCGGCCTCTTTCCTGTATCATGCGTTTGTTATAGGGCCAAGGGTGGAGCCTGGCAAACAGAAGGTGTGTTTGAAGGAGCTTTGTGAAGTGCTCCAGGTGAGGACTGTGTCCAGTGCCCCCGACTCACCTTATCAAACCCCCTGACTCCTCCATGCAGACTGTTGGGCCCATTGTTAATGGCCAGCTTGTACTCCTTCCCGTCCACCGTGAAGGTTCCTTTGGCAATTCGGTTTGCAACCCTGCCAACCACGGCCCCAAAGTAAGGCTGCTTTTGGAGGTACCCTGTGGGGACATGGGATGGAGGGCATGGGGTCAAAGTGTTTTTTAAAACTTCAAACCTCTCACAGCTTGTGGGTTCGAGCCCTGCGTCAGGCTCTGTGCTGACAGCTCAGAGCCTGGAGCCTGCTTCAGATTCTTTGTCTCCCTCTCTCTGCCCCTCCCCTGCTCACATTCTGTCTCTTTCAAAAGTAAACAAACATTAAAAAATAATAATAATAAAATAAAACTTCAAACCAAAGGTGAGGCTCATAGTACTGCCCACCAATTTCTTCCTTCCTTCCTTCCTTCCTTCCTTCCTTCCTTCCTTCCTTCCTTCCTTCCTTCCTTCCTTTCTCTTTCTCCCTCTCTCTCTTTTTTCTTTCTTTCTTTCTTGAGCACACAGTAAGCAAGAGGCACAGAGGAGAAAAAAGAATCCCAAGAGGGGCAGAGAGAGAGAGAAGTAGGGCTTACCCCAAGCAGAGCTCGTGCTCACCCGCTGTGGGACTCAAACTCATGAACCATGAGGTCATGACTTGAGCTGAGGTCAGATGCTTAACAACTGAGCCACCCAGGTGTGCCCCCCCCCCCGCCCCAGCTTTCTTTTGAGAGAAACTGAAAGTAGTAATAACTTGGGCATATCCAAACCCTCAGGGAAACACAGAAAAATGCTGTTCTTTACACACGACCTTGCCCCTTTCCAAAAGTAATGCATGTTCTTTATAAACATTTTGAAAAAATTTTATAAAGCACAAAGAAATAAAAAAATGTTTTCATGTTTATTTACTTACTTTGAGAGAGACAGAGTGCAAGGAGGAATGAAGCAGCGAGAGAGGGAGAGAGAAAAAATCCAAGAAGGCTCCATGCTGCCAGCACAGAGCCTGATGCGGGGCTTGAACCCACAAACTGAGATCATGACCTGAGCTGAAAGCAGGAGTCAGACCCTTAATCGACTGGGCCACCCAGGCACCCCAAAGCACAAAGAAATTTCAATCATCCAATCTCATCACTAGAGAGAACCACTGTCAATATTCTTATGTATATCTCCCTGCCATCTTTTATGGATGCGTGTGCTTTTCTTCTTCTCTATAAAAATGGAGTCTTAATATGCCTGCTGCTTTGTAATCTGCTCTTTTCTAGGCCAGTCAATTTCCTTCATCATATTCTTGTGTAGTCTTGAGAAGAACCTATCTTACTCTTCTTTCTCTTTTTATTTTTTTTAAAATAATACAGTTACTTCATCAAACTATCCTTTAAAGAGCATTAAACAAATATATAGGGTTTGTCAAAGGAAATACAGGACACCCAGTTGAATCTGAATTGCAAGTAAACAATAAATAATTTTTTGGTATAAGCATGTCCATATTATTATCATACTTGAGACTTACTTAACACCTCAAAACCATTTGTTGGGGCGCCTAGCTGTCTCAGTCCAAGGAGTGTGTGACTCTTGATCTTGGGGTCATGAGTTCGAGCCCCATGTTTGGTATAGAGATTACGTAAATAAATGAATAAATTAAAACTTTTTTTAGAAGTTTAAAGAAACCAACACATCTCCCATTTGTTTTTCACTCAGACGTCCTTGGAATTCTGTCCTCCTTTCCTATAGTTCTTTGTATTCATCCCATCTCTGTTGATAGAAGAAACTGCAGTTCAAGCCTATGAACTCTTTCTACCATGGCTGGAGGGGCTCTCAGACCCTGAACCGTTCACCCAGTTACAGGCTCCCATTACTCAACTGGCTGGGCATGAGTGAAATATTAGTCACTCTCTTCCAGGTCTTTCCTGGTTCACTCCTTTGCTAACCTGAAGGTTCTCAGAGGCTGTCCGTGAACTATCATAAGAGCTAACACCAAGTTCTTCCTAAGACTCAGCTACTTTCTAACTACATTTCACTCATTTCATCTTCAGGATACTCCTACAAGGTAGACACTGTTATATACCCTCATTTTACAGATGTGGAAACTGAGGACAGAAAAGTTAAGTAACTTGCTCCAAACACACAGATCATTATCAGAAGAACCTGGGTTTGAACATACAGTCTGGCTCCTGAGTTCTTGTTCTGTCTTTCTCTTTTTTAATATTTATTTTTGAGAGAGAGAGAGACAGAGACAGAGAATGAGCAGGGGAGGGGCAGAGAGTATCTGAAGCAGGCTCCGGCTCTGAGCTGTCAGCACAGAGCCCGACACGGGGCTCAAACTCACGACCCGTGAGATCATGACCTGAGCCACATTCAGCCGCTTAACTGACTGAGTCGTCCAGGTGCCCCAAGGCAGGGTTGTGTGTTTGTGTGTGCGTGTAACTAAACAAGATGATTTTAACCTTGCTGTGAAAAAGCAAAGGGCCAAAATAGTTATAAAATTTCGAAGAAAACAACATGAGTGAAGATCCTAAGACTCACTAAGTTAAGGCAGTGTGGTGTTGGCCAGAACGAGACAAACAGACCGATGGAACAGAAGAGACAACCCCAGACAGGTCCTGTACCTGTGAGGACCTGAAACGTGACAGAGGTGACACACAGATCCGTGGAGAAAGAATGAAACCAAGAGTCGGACTCCTGACTTGACTGAGCTGCCCTGGCGGCCCACAAGTTCTTGTTCTTAAGCATCACATTATGTGAAAAGCACAAGGCTGTCTGGTGAATTGCGCTGACTACCATCTCTTAGCACAGGCCAGACTGACCTCTCCACCTGCTTCCCCCTCCTTCCTCTCCCTCCCCTCCCTCCTCTTTCTGAAGATGCAGCTTTAAAACTCCTTCCACTGTATAACCGAAAGGAGTTCCAAAGGGCCAAGTAACCTTCTTTTGGTTTTACTTCATCTACTGTTGTTTTCTTTTTATTTTTTTAATTGATTTCTGAGACAGAGCCAGCATGAGCAGGGGAGGGTCAGAGAGAGAGGGAGACACAGAATCTGAAACAGGCTCCAGGCTCTGAGCTAGCTGTCAGCATAGAGCCCGACTCGGAGCTCGAACCCACGAACCCCGAGATCATGACCTGAGCCGAAGTTGGATGCTTAACTGACTGAGCCACCCAGGCGCCCCTATTTTTATTTTTTTAAGAGTTTATTTTTAAGTAATCTTTACGCCTAACATGAGTGTTGAACTTACAACCCCGAGATCAAGAGTCACACGCTCTACCGACTGAGCCAGCCAGGAGCTTCGTATTTTGTTTTTAGTAGACTCTATTTTTTAGAGCAGTTTTAGGTTTACAGTAAAATTAAGCAGAAGGCACAGATTTCCTAGATACCCTCCATCCTAACACATGGATAGCCTCTCCCATTATCAACACCTCCCCCCATCAAAGAGACACATTTCTAGTAACTGATGATCCTATGTTGACATATCATTATCAAACACACTCTTGGTGTTACACATTCTGTGGGTTTGGACAAATGAATAATGATATGTATCCATCATTATAACATCATACAGAGTATTTTCACGGCCCTAAAGATCTTCTCTGCTCTGCCTATGCATCCCTCCTGTCCCCCCAACCCCTGGCAACCACAGATTTTTTTACTGCCCCCAGAAATGTACCTTTTTCAGAATGTCATAGTTGGCATTGTATACTTCATAGCCCTTTCAGATGGGCTTCTTTCACTGAGTAATATAGCATTTTAGGTTCCTCCCTGTCTTTTCATGGCTTGATGGCTCATTTCTTTTTCGCACTGAGTAATATTCCATTGCCCGGACGTACCACAGTTTATTTGTCCTTTCCCCTACCAAAGGGCATCTGGTTGCTTGTTTTGGTAATTATGAACAAAGCTGCGATAAACACCTGTGTGCAGATTTTTGTGTGGACGTAAGTTTTTAACTCTTTTGAGTAACTACCAAGAAGCATGACTGCTTGATCATATGGTTAGAATGTGTTTAGTTTTGTACGAAGCAAGCAAACTGTCTCGCAGAGCGGCGGTCCCATCTCGCATTCCCACCAGCAACGAATGAGAGTTCGTGTTGCTCCACATCCTCGCCAGCATCTGGTGATGTCAGTGTCCTGGATTTTGGCCATTCTGATAGGACCTCCCTATTGTTTGAATTTGTATTTCCTTGAGGAGGTATATCGTGGACCATTCGTCTGCTTTTCCCGAGCTAAAAAAATGTGAAGAAAAGCAGAATTTTTGTTCAAAAATTATTTGGCTGAATCTACTTTTGATTCCTACCCTGATCCATTCAACAAACGTACAGAGTCCCCACTCTGCCAGCCACACGCTCGGCTCCGAAGACAGTGACAAATTCAACAGCCAAGCTGGTGGGTCCTGGGCTTGAAGAATTCCCTCGGAAGGGACCGCTTTCTGGCAACAGTAAATAGCCCACGGAGGGAAGAAGCACTCTCAGTCCTTGGTTTAGATGAAGAGTTTTTAACAACTAATCCGTGGGGACAGCAGAAACCATCGCTCTCAGCTGTCTTTGAAAAACTCTTCAAAACAAGTGCATGTTATTTGTTTTGAAGACATTAGTATCTTCATAAGTCACTCAGCTTTTATATCCAATCAGAATGACAAAGACTGACATTCCCCGAATTCTGAATAGGACATGACGATAAAGCTTGTTTTCAAATGCAGAAAATACTGTTTTCCATGAAAAAGGGCAAAGTTTCTAGGGCAAGCCATGAATGAGGATTTTTTTCGATTGTTGATGTGTGATAAAGGGTAGAGGAAAAGGCTGTCCCTTTTCCTGGGCAAAGGACTGGCCAGAGTATATTAATAAATCCTTAACCAGCAGCGATACGGACCTTTCTACTCCTCTAACCTCCCACGGACCCCAGCTCTGCTATCCACCTCGTTCGTACGGCCTACACTTCAGCCGGAGTGCCCTAAAAGTGTGAAATAAAAGTACCTACTATTTCCAATCTAAACTTCTACAACCTGTTTTCTGAGGAAAACAAACATCACTTTAACTGACAAGCACTTTAATTGTCCCCAGTATTTCATATATTTTCAAATTGCTGCTGGCTGTCCACATGGATCCTGATGCTCTTTTTCGCAGTATTAACCAAGTGAGGTAAAACGCCCAAGTTGTGTGAAGGACGACATTTGGGGGCAGGGAAAGAAAGGAGATAAAAACGATTGATTGCTCACTACGGTCAGACGCCATCACAGCCAAGTAGCACATTTAGTCCTCATTACCCATTAGTTAAGGTGAAGAAATATGTCTGGGGAGGTTAAATAACTTTAAGGGAGAAAGCAGAGATTGAAGCCAGGAACCCCCAATACTCCTACAAGGGCATCTGCAAGACTAGACTGCAGTTTCTGAACTGCTCCCTTTTCCTCTACCCACTATGGGCCGGGGTTTTCTAAAAGCACTATGTCTATATTTTCTATTTTTTCCATAATGACTCTCATGGCAGTAATAGCCGGGTGTGTGGTGGTAACCAGAGGGAAGATGAAGGGCGAGAGTAGCACAGATTGTGTGGGTAGGTTGTTTAAACCTGCGGCTTATAGGCAAATAGTCTCATCACAGATTTTGAAAGAAGTCATAATGACTGTGGGTGGGGCATGAAGAGGAAAAGCATTTTTAAATATTTTAGGTACAAAAAAAAAATGGCAGAACAATTCACAGGAGGCATTGGTGACTTTTCCAGGCTGTAACTAAAAGATCGTATGATTTACCTCTTTAGAATTCTACAGAAGAAAGATCTCATTTTCCCAGGGAGAAACGGAGCCATTCTGACCTCGGGTCATGGCCATGATCCAAGCAGTTGATATAATCTATCTGGGAAACTGGAGACAGTTCACATCTAACCTGGCAATTAAAAAGGACCATGTTTCACGGAATTATACATGCTTAGCTCCTCCCTGTGGCTCAAAATATTTTGGGGGCATAGTAATGTCAAGATAACCCCTTATTCTGTCATGTCTTGTAGCTTTAAATGATTCACCTCAGGTTTGTTTATATAACGTCTATACACTCAGATATTTGAAAAGAATGGACAGTGAAAATAAAGTCTCCTTCTTACCCCTGCATCCCAGTAACCAGAGTCCTCTCTTGAAGACAGTCACTGTTGCCAATTTCTTTTTTTTTTAAGATTTTATTTTTTAAAGTAATTTCTTTTTGTTTAATTTTTTTCTTAATGTTTTATTTATTTCTGAGAGAGAGCGTGAGCAGAGGAGGGTCAGTGAGAGAGGGAGGTACAGAACCTGAAACAGCTTCCAGGCTCTGAGCTGGCTGTCAGCACATAGCCCGATGTGGGTCTCGAACCCACGAACTGTGAGATCATGACCTGAGCCGAAGTTGTTCACTTAACCGACTGAGCCACCCAGGCGCCCCTATTTTTTAAAGTAATTTCTATGCCCAACATGGGGCTCAAACTCACAACCCCAAGATCGAGAGTCACACAGTCTGCCAAGTGAGGTCTCCCAAACGTTGCCAATTTCTTAACATGGGTTTTAACACACAAGAATGATCAAAACAGTAGCAGAGTCCCATTTCACACTATTCTGACCAAGACAAGTATGCTTCCTGTTATGACATACATGACGTCTTCTTTTATCTTTAGCAGTATCTACCTTTGTGGAAAGAATTTACAAAAAACCTGAGAGACAGGAGTGCAGAAAGGGAACAAGGGGCCTCTTTCAATAGCCATGATGATGGCTGCTGCACATATTAGAAAGCATTACTTGATATTCCAAGGGCTTTTTTCCAGCTTCTCCTCTTCTGAAAATAACTTGCTTTCCTTCTAGAATAAATAATTCAATCATCTAAAATATAGCATAGGAATGAGCATCTAGAATATTTTGGATGCTTTGATTCAACTTGGCATTTTGTGAAGTCTGTGATGTATACTAATAAGAAAATGCCATTTAACATTCTCAAGAGATGTTACTAACATGGAGGGCAATAAAACACACGTTAGATCACTATAATCTGGGGAGATCGATTTCTTTTCTCCCTTTTAAGAACATTTGGGGATAATACCTTCTTCATCCAGACTCCCCCAAGAGTCACGGACTTACAGAGACAACTCCACTGTATTAATGCCCTCACAAAACCAACACTTCAGTGCCTAATCAGACACCGGTGCTATTGCACTATTAGGTATTTACCCAAAGGATACAAAAATACAGATTCGAAGGGGCACAATCGCCCCAGTGTTTACAGCAGCACTGTCAACAACAGCCAAACTATGGAGAGAGCCCAAACCTCCATCTGATGAGTGAATGAAGAAGATGTGGTCTGTATACACAATGGAATATTACTCAGCCATCAAAGAAATGAAATCTTGCCATTTGCAATGACACGGATGAAACTAGAGTGTATTCTGCTAAGCGCCGTAAGTCAGAGAAAGACAAACACCATATGGTTTCACTCAAGTGGGATTTAAGAGACAAAACAGATGACATATGGGGAAGGGGGAGAAGAGAAGGAAGGGAAACAAACCAGAAGAGACTCCTAACAAGGGAGAACAAACTGAGGGTTGAAGGGAGGGGGGGTGGGAGGGGAATGGGTTAGATGAGTGATGGGTACTAAGGAGGGCAATTGTGATGAGCACTGGGTGTTGTACCTAAGTGATGAATCGGTGAATTCTACTCCTAAAACCAATATTGCACCGATACTAACTAACAACAACAACAAAGACATGGGGGGGGGGGGCGGCCATCATGGCGTCATGGTACACATTTCATAAGAATTCCACAAAGACGTTTTGTATTTTGAGAGCCATGTGACCCTTATATCAGAACTAACACTGGTAAGGAGTGAGAGTTGTGAATGCGTGTGTGTAGAGGTGCAGAGGGAGGGCCATGTCTCCAGAATGGCCGAGATGGAAATGAGGCACTAAAAGCAGAGGCCGACAGCTCAGCATCTCCAAAGCTTTGCTGGCTCTGGAATTCTAGGCCGTATGTCCAATTCTTCGACTCCACTGGGCAGTTTTGCACCAGCCAAGTAATCTCTTTGTGATTCTGTGTCAGCCTGGAAAATAGTTATGGTACTAACAGAGAGAGGTGACTCAGCAAAATCATTCTAAAGAATTCTTTTGTCAACTCTCTTGCCTTTTGACTGAACACAGAGGATCTGAACCTCCACCAAAGAAAACCAACACTCAAGAGTTTTCTGTTAACTTCTAACCATGAGCCATGTTACATATCTAAAGAACCAAACAGATAGAAAGACACAACTAAAGAAAAACCTCAAACCTCCCCTCTAGCCGATTTTGCCCACGCCCCTACCACTGAGCAAAGGGTACTCAGTTTCAAGCAGTTTCCTTTTGCCAACTTTATTTCAGACCTCATCTCCTGTCTGGCTACACAGTAGTGTCGAGATATAGCACTGTGGTCCCTTTCCTTTGTTAAGATCAAACTGCAACTGTAATGATTTTTCAATGCGATTATTTGGCTAGTGTCTAACACCTCCCCGACCCCTTCCCCCCAGCAAAAGTGCCAGCCCTGTGAGGGTGAGGACCTTGTCTGTCTGTATGAAGTAACTGAATGTACAGTTTGTGAATGCATGGATTAATACATGAACCTAATTGCCCCATGAAACCCATAAATGAGTTGGTCTTCTGCTTGGTTGGTTCCTGGGCAGCCAGCGGGCGCTGGGCGCTATGTCATACCAGGCTGGGTGGCTAAGCTGTCTGCACCCACTAAGCCACGTCCAGACGCCTTTCTCAGACAATCAGGGCTCAAGGAGAATCTGATGAAGGAGAGAGGAAGTAGAAGAGGCAGGTCTTGGATTGTACTACAGAAAGAACACTAGGCAAGACCTGGAAGCCACACCCCCTCTAGCCAGCTTTGCCCTCCCTTTGCCCTCACATATCTGGCAGTTCAAAGATCGCTGCAGTTTGCTGGGGTTTTATCCTACCCTCGACTATTTTTTTTAAATGTTTATTTATTTGAGAGAGAGACAGAGCGGGAGCAGGGGAAGGGCAGAGAGAGAGAGGAAGACACAGAATCTGAAGCAGGGTCCAGCTGTGAACTCACCAACTTCAAGATCATGACCTGAGCCAGACTCTGATGCTTAACCGACTGAGCCACCCAGGCGCCCCCGACCCTCAACTATTCTAAATTAATTAAGGCAAAGCCTGAATGGACAACCAGAGGCCAAGTCCTAGAGCTGTTTCCATTTGTGTCTTTTTCAGAGCACAGGATGGAAACACAGTGGGTCTGCCGGCTGCAAACACTCCCGATGGTGACGAGGGTGACGAGCTCGGGTACTTGCCCTGGATCCTGGCCGCCTGCAGCTCGATCGGGGGCGTGTGCGGGAGGGCTGGGGGTCCGGGGCCACCCCGCAGCCCGGGGCAGAATTCAACCCACCTTCCAACTCTGCAAAGCCGAGCACCACATCGGACGCCCTGCCCTGCCTGTCTTTGACCTCCAGGGCCGTAATGGTGCAGCCCCAGGAGATGATGTCCACTTTCAGCAGGTCTGACTGCAGCTGGAACTTCTCCACTGTCCCTGCCCCTGAGGGCAGGTCTCCAAACACGGCTCTAGTCACCGTAACCATGAGGAAAGCGTGGGGACGTGCAGCTACTCCCGGCCCTTCCAACTCCAGCCTCCTAACCTGGAGTGCCAGAAGTTTACTGGAGAAGGGGCGGGACACGGCCCAGACTCCTCCCCTTCCTTGCCTGGATTGGGGGAGTGGCCACTCCTGCAAAAAATACCCTCTGGAGACTTTCTAAATCTTTCCTTTGCCTGAGGGTGACATGGAGGCAAAATTTCCAGACGGGGTTTTCCTTTGCTAACTCTGGCTGCATTGCATGTCGGGAGTGGTAGTCTTTGGAAGGTGAAATTGCATTTTGGGGCCTGTAGTTTTTCTAAACCCAAATCCTGAACCTGCTGGATTCGGCCCTTTCTCTGGCTCAGGGTTCTCAACAGGCAGTGAGCTAGCAGTTCGTTAACGTTGGTGGCTGACTTTCAAATAAAATGCTGGAAAATGCAGAGCAGAGTTAGAGACAGGTGAATGTTGGGGGGGAGAGTTCTGGTTTTAAGCTAACTCTGATCTAGAGGAGAAAGAAATACAGAGGTAATTTAGACAAGGGGTAAAATAATGGCAGGCGTCTCTGCACACTCCCTGAAGATTCATCCTGTTTGTCCCACGCAGTGAAAACTCTGGACACGTTAGTGCTGGAGCCGCTGCCCAAAGGCTCTCCTGGCTTGGGTCTGGAGTAGCAGCCTGGAGGATCTGGTGTAGTTACATGGAGGCGATCAGAGGCAGCCTCTGACTTTCTTTTCCTCGGGGAACTGGGGAAGGGCCTTGAGGACCTACCCCATCTTCTTCCTGAAGTCTAAAGTTCCTTTAAAAAGGGATTAAGGGAGTATTTATCGAGATTCCCCTAAATGTCACTCCCGTACTTTTATTATCTCCTTTCCACAAGCAGAAAAAGGCTTTAAGTAGATACCGATGGGAGATGAAAAGACAAGCAGACCATTACATAACTGCCATGCTTTCTGAGTGCCTCAGAATCATCTGAGCTTTTTTCAAGAATGTGTATTTCCAGGCCCGTCCCTGGAATTTCTTTTTCTGTGAGTCTAGGGCAAGACTCAGGAATCTGTCTTTTTCACAGGTTTCCTGGGTTATTCTAATGCAGATTACCTGGGACCAGACTTTGAGAAGAACTGCTCAACAATTGGGTGACTAATCTTAGATTTTTTCCCCCAAATAGGCTCTGACAGCATACGACTAAGATAGAGTTCTTAACGGCCTTAATAGGATTGCCAGATAAAATATAGGTGCCCGTGTACTTCTTTGCTAAAGGTGTCAACTCTAGACAGTACTGGGTCTAGGAAGGGGGAGGATGCTGGAAGCTGGATGTGTTTTACGTGATGGCCTTCATACTCCTCTTGGCTTGGCGCTGCTTTTGGTTTGGTTTCTAGATACTTTTGGGGGGATCCAAATGGACTGTGGTGAGCGCCAAAATGCATCTGTGATTAGGAAATTAGGAGACTTGGGATCGTGTTCCTGGAATCAGAAGTGAATAAAACATAATTGCCTCCCAGCCCTTTCTGTCTGTCGTTGGAAGGAATACTTAGCATTCTTGCCGCAAGCCTCAATTCTCATTCATGAAGCGGGGGACCCGCAAGCAAGGGGGAAAAGAGAGCTTGCAGCCGGCTTTAGTGAAGGGCTCTAGCGAAGCGTAACACATGATAACAAAAAGACCCAAACAAGTCAAATTACAGCCTGCGCCACACTCACACAATAACCGATCACACTCTTGCATGCTGCTTCATCAGAAATTCTCATAAACTCTGCAGTCTTCAGCAGCCCACTTAACATTTGTGGCTGATTCATATACGAGCCCTTTCGGCAATGCTGTGTTAGCACGGATGTCTCAGAGCCTCTTCTGTGGGCAGGAAGACTGCATTTTCTTTTCTCAGCCCCCAGTTCTCAATGTTCTGCCAAGCTCATGTTGCCACAGAAAGAGACAAATGCATTTGAACGGCCAAAGCCAGGTGTCACTCGGGGAGATAGTGTAGCTAGGCGTGGTGGAAAATGAAACATACCATGATGTCTCTCGAAGATTTAAGAAGTACATTTCATTTCATTTTCCTTTCACTTTTTTTAAAAATATTTTTTAATTTTTTAAATGTTTTTATTTATTTCTGAGAGAGAGAGAGACACAGCGTGAGCAGGGGAGGGTCAGAGAGAGAGGGAGATATAGAATCTGAAGCAGGCTCCAGGCTCTAAGCTGGCTGTCAGCACAGAGCCCAACGTGGGACTTGAACCCACGAACCGTGAGATCATGACCTGAGCCAAAGTCGGACGCTTAACCAACTGAGTCACCCAGGCACCCCTTTCCCTTCACTCTTAAGCGCTGAACATATTGTCATAAATAGGACTACCTTGTGCTAGGTCAGCCGTCAGGCTCAAACCTTGGCTTTTCTTACCAAGATACCCCATTTTCCTAGTCCCACAGTGACACTCTAAAGGAGTATTTGTGCACTTGGGGCCCCTGGCTGCCTCCGTCAGTAGAGCATGCAGCTCTTGATCTCAGGGGTGTGAGTTCAAGCCCTACGTTGGGTGCGGAGCCTACTTAAAAAAATAAAAATTAAAAAAATATAAAGGAATATTTGTGCACTTAAAAAAAGGGAAGAAGATGAAGCACCCTAAAGCTAAGGAAATATTCTCCATCTCCAAGGTTGGATTGGGTCAGAAGCCAGGTAGTGCCTTTGAAAATGAAGCATCCTCAAGCTTGAGGAAGTATTTCTTTTTATTTTGGGGGTGGGAGGGTGAGGTCATGAGGTAAAGAGTGAAGGAACTGTGACATTTATGTCAAGAGGAGTTACTTAAAGCAGCGCCTGGGTGGCTCAGCTGGTCAAGCATCTGACTCTTGATTTAGGCTGGGGTCATGATCTCACAGTCTTGTGGCTCTGCGCTGCACTGACAGCAGGGATCTTGCTTGGGATTCTCCCCGTCTCTCTGCCCCTTCCCTGTTCACACTCTGTCTGATTCTCTCAAAATAAATAAATAAGTAAACAAAACAAACAAACAAAGAGGAGTTACTTAAAGTGGGTAGCTTTTCTTTCAACCAGAGAGTGAAGACTCAGGTTGGACAGGTCGAGAATGAAGTCAGTTTCTCTTCTCTGCTGAAGGTTAGTCCCCAAAGCTGAGTGCTTGGGGAGCCAGGAAGGAGGAGATCTGAGCCTTTGGACCCTGGGCTCTGCCTCCTCATTCTACAAAGACACTGCAGGTGTACTGTTCCTGGGACCTGTCAGACCCGAGGCCCGTGGAGAGGGCTCCAAAGCTTTAAGCTGTTGACAAGCTGCTTAACTCTCTGAACTGTAATAATAAAACCAACTCACGATACCTCACGGTTTGTCTATAAGGAGACCCAGAATAGATTCTCTTTAGTTAATAGGTTATCCTTTTCCTGTTCTCTTTCTCGTTGCTCTGAACTCGAATGGCACTTCATTGGGTGATCCAACCATGCAATACCTTAGATGGTTCTTTTTCTTTCCATGAGCACATTTTGTTGTTATTGTTTAGTCAACATTTGGCTCACCGGCTCCATATTGTGACTCACAAATGTTTTGTAACGCAAACACTACACTTGGTTTCAGTAAAACTCTGGCAATTTTAGATGCCTGGTAAATAACTGTTGAATGAATACATGATACATTCATATTTATAATGTCATAGTAGATAATTGGCTCTGATCTCAGAAAACCTGGGTCCGAGAGTCATCAGAACTTCCTGGCCATCAGAATTTGTTCAACCACTCTGCTTCAATTTCCTCAACTATAAAATGGGAATCATTTCACAGGAGTGGCCCATCCAAATATTATTAATTGATTGCCAGTCAATATAAAGCGCCAAAAATGAACTGGGCACCATGAAATGCACTCCTATGAGTCAGACACTATTATCTGATATAGAAACTGAGACTTACGAGGTTAAGCAACTTGTTGAAGGTCACATGGTTCGTTAAGTCAGGAAATCAAGATTTGATCCTGGGCAGTTTGACTGCAGAGATAGGAGCATTTAACCACTTCCTTATATGCTGCCTGGTATTGTGGGCAACTGAGAACCTGGAGTCCAAAGCAGTATGCAAATTCTAACACATTATGCCAATGTAAAATGTTCATCTCCTAAGTTTTATGGTAATTACAAGTTTAAAAAATTAGTTTCTGGAGGGGCGCCTGGGTGACTCAGTCGGTTGAGCATCTGACTCTCGGTTTCAGCTCAGATCATGATCTCACATTTCGTGGGTTTGAGCCCCACATCGGGATCTAAGCTGACAGCATGGAGCCTGCTTGAGTTTCTCTCTCCCTCTCTCTCTGCCCCTCCCCCACTTGTTCTGTCTCTGTCTCTCTCAAAATAAGTAAATTAACCTAAAAAAATTAGTTTCCAGAATTAGGTCAAATTGGGCTCAAGAGGATATTACGTTCACTTACTGATAGGTAAAGAGGGGCCCAAGGAGAAGAGCTAATCCTTGGCACCCATACACTCCGGAAACGAGGCACCCATCACCTCCAGACCTATTATATTGTCTTCTGTCTATTTGTCATTATGGAAGCTCCACCAGAGTGAGCCCGTTCACTGCTGTATCCCAGTAGCTAGAACAGAGTAGTGGGTCACTAAAAAATGTTTGTTGATTGCATGTTCAAATGCTGGAAAGGATGGGAAGCATCTCTCATCCACAGCTGGTAGAAGTCTCAATTGATAAAAACCACTTTGGAGGACACCTTGTCAATATCTAATCAAGTCTATTTGCACCAAACTCAGAAACAGCCCATGACCCAGCAAGCAATTCCATTTTTTGGAATATGCCCTAGATGATATTTTGCATTAGGCATAAGAATATTTATAGCAGCATTGTGTGTAAGAATCAAAATTTGGAATAAACCTAAAGTCCATCAGTTGAAAAATGGATCAAACAATTTTGGTATATCCGTGTAATGCAATATGACATAACAGGAAAATAAATGCACCAGGTCCTCAGGCATAAATTTCATAATTATAATGTTAAGGAAGAAAAAAGCAGTGCAGAGGGATGCAGATATATCATTTACAGCAAATACTAAACCTTGAAAAATAAACTAGATCTCCCTGAATTTAAGCCATTAGTCCAGGG